AATAGAAGTGATGATATGATCTCACGGACGGTGCAGATCATAACACCTCCCCCATACAAAAAAGATGCGCGTCCCGCGCATCGAACAACTATTAGTGTAAATAAGATAAAATGAAACTATAATGAAAACCCTTTTTTTTTTTTTTTTTTTTTTTTTTTTTTTTTTTTTTGAAGTTGTTCTTAAGGTCCGCTGGAATTCAGAATTTGAGTTGCCACACCTCATTTTGATAATGATAAGACGTTGCCACGTCGTCTTCGATCGCTGTTGATAATGGTGATAAAATATGATTGTATCAATGTAAATATTTTGTGATTATATGACTCGTTCCATAACCGGCTGTAGTTGACTAATATGAGCCCATGTAGATTTACCTGTTTCTTTGTCTTGAACAAAATAACTTTGTTCACCTGTCTTATTGGTCACTTGACAGGGTCCTATCCATCGTTCACCTAATTTTGTACGACTGGCGCATACCTTGAGAAATACCAAATCACCAATCGAATAAGACATATCCTTACGATGTTTGTCATATCTTAGTTTTGTTAATTGTTGTTGGTGACGTATGTTTTCTTGAGCTTGTTTGAGAATTGTTCGCCGTATTTTTTGTAAATGTTTGAAAAATGTATCCGGTTGAGTTAGTGTGAAGTTGCTTGAATTGGAGTCGAATGGACTCTTCTGTCGTCGACCAAATGCAAGTTCATACGGAACAAAGCCAGTTGTAGCATGAATGCCGGTATTGTAGGCATAAACCACAGACTGAAGATAATCATCCCAATCATCTTCGTTCTCATCATAATACTTTGCCAATTGGGTACAAAACGTAGCATTGAAGCGCTCCACCTGGCCATTCGTTTGCGGATGATACGAAGCTGAAAATGCATGAATAGTATTCATCATTGCAGTAATTGTCTTCATTAATGTGTTGTTAAAATGTACTCCGTTATCTGTAATAAGTCGTTCAGGTGCACCATGTATCATAATAAATTCGTTCATAAGGAATTCAGCAGTAGCCTTAGCAGTATTATTTGACATCGCTTTCGCTATTACGTACTTTGATAAATTATCCGTAAGCACTAGCACATATCGGTTTCCTTGTGATGACGTGCGAACAGGGCCCCAGAAATCCATATGTAGTACTTGAAATACTTCTGTTGGTGGATCAAACGATTTAAGATGACCTGGTGTTTTGCTTCTTATGATATTGAATTTTTTACATTGTTGACATGATGAGATGTAATGTTCAATTGATTTGCGCATATTGGGCCACCAAAATCGAGTACGAATTTTATGCAAAGTGCGTTGCACTCCGAAATGTCCACTCAATGGATGATCATGAAATGCTTCTAGTAGAGTGTTTAGCATTGATACAGGCAAATAAGGAACCTTGCTCTTGGTACCATCGTTTTTTTTTTTGGTGATGAGACGAAATAAGACGCTGTTGTATAGTACATAGTTATTCATTTTCTTTTGGGCATGAATACGTGAAATAATAAGTTGAATATCAGTATCATTATCTTGTTCAACTTTGATCTTTTCTAAAGTTAAGTCTAAAATTGAGGTAGATTTAAGTAGAGGTGTTGATGTAATCGGATGATCTTCGGTCACGGTTGGTGATGACGAAGCACTTGCAGCTGCTTTTTTTGTTACTGATCGAGTGATGGCAGACAGCGACTGTTGTTGATTGTCACTATCAATTGTTTCATATCGAGTAAGATAATCAGGACCGATATTGTCAATGCCACACCGATATTTTATTTCAATAATTTGTGGTATTAAATCTTGTAAATGTATCAGCCAATTATCAATTCTTCGGTTTCCATAGTTTCTCTTCTTATGCATATTGACCAATGGCTTGTGATCTGTTTCGATGGTGATTTCAGAATCTCCAATATAATTTCTCAATTCGGTTAGACACCAGTAAATTGCTAAAGCTTCTCGTTCTGTGGTTGAATACCTACTTTCAGTGTCATTGAGTAATCTAGATTTGTAGTAGCAGATCTTCAATCCATCAGTTGTATCTTGCTTGAGTACACCAGCAATTCTCAGATCACTTGCATCTGTAGATAAGGTGAATGGTACTGATCGGTTTGGAAAATCGAGGAATAGTGGGGCACTTGTCAGGATTGATTTAAATTTTTCAAAGGCATCTTGTTGTTCTTGACCCCAACGAAATTCATTTCTTTTTGTTCTTGTTTTGTTAGTAACCTTGTGAATAGGTGCAGCAATTTTTGCGAAGTCTCGAATAAATTTACGATAATATCCAACTTTACCAATAAACTTGTTGGCTTGTGAAAGTGTTTTTGGTGGAGCAATATTAGCAATTGCTTTGATCTTGTCTAATGATGGTTCCACTTTGTCAGATGTAACAATGTGACTTAAAAATTCGATCTTTTCGACGGCAATTGAACATTTTGCTGGTGATACTTGAAAGTTGGCCTTGTGAAGTGTTGAAAGAACGTCCGCCACGTGTTGTTTGTGTTCTTCAATTGTTTTTGAAAAAATCACAATATCATCTAGATAGACAACCACATAGTCCCAACGCCCATTGGCTAATAATTCATTCATCACCCTTTGGAATGTTGGTGGCGCATTCATAAGACCTTGAGCAAGCACCGTGAATTCATAGAGTCCATCTTGAGTGATTATAGCAGTCTTCGGTATGTCGGATTCGTGTATTGGTATTTGGAAGTAACCGGACTTTAAATCTAGTTTGGTGAAGTATTGATGCCCAGCCAAACGATGAAGTAATTCTTCAGCTGATGGTTGAGGGTATGAGTCCTTTTTGGTGATTGAATTGAGTCGGCGGAAGTCAACCAAAAATCGATAGGTACCATCCGATTTCTTCTTTAATAATACTGGAGATGACCATGGTGAGTTTGAGGGTCGAAGAATTCCTTGATCAAGTAACATTCCTACTTCCTGTTGAACTTCCTTTCTTTGTTGTACTGTCTTATAATATGGTCGAACACTTGTTGGTAGGTGATCGCCAGTGTTGATTGTATGATGAATCTTGGTTTTTGCTCTGGTCATTTTTGAGTTGTCAAATGAATGTTTGTTTTGTCGAAGAATGCTAAGAAAATCATTACGATGGTATTTATCATCAATGTGCATCACTAATTCTTGAAGAATATTTTCGAGTAATGATGATTTTGATGATTCTTGTTGTTCATTTGTCTGTATCGAATTCAAGTGGGCACTTTGTTCTGTCATACTTGATTGGTTGGCTGGGTTTAATATGCTGTACATCATTTCATCATTCGATTGATAGTGTATTGATCCTAGTTTTATAGTGTTAGCTAATTTGTAGATATTTTTGTTAGGATTATAAATGCAAACATAAAATGAGAAGTCTTTTATTTCAACAAAAGCATCAGATACTTGAACATTTAACTTAGCACATTTTTCCCTGTCTGGTAAAAAAAGAACAAGATTAGCAGATGAAATCGGTACATACATTTTGACTATATGTTCATGATGTGGTAATAAAATGATGCCTTCGGCGAGATGGACATCGACTGAGCCTAAGTCCAAGAAAGGTGTTGTTGTAATTCCGTATTTTGGATGATTGATTTCAACTTGTTTTTTACCGATGTTCACGTTCACATTATTTAATTTGCACCAGTCCATACCAAGAATTAACTTTGCACCTAATGAATGGACAACAAGAGCTATAATGGTGGTAGTGATATCATTGATAGCTATAGTTAATTCAACTGCACCATTGACTGTAATTTTTGTTTGTCCATCACCAAGTACTGCTGTTGTTTGAATTTGCTGAATTGGTGGATGTCTAATATGATCGAGTTCAGATTGTGATATAAGTGATGTAGTAGCTCCCGTATCAAGCATCGTATGAATTAATGTACCATTAACGATTGTGCCAATTATTATAAGTGATGGATGAGATTGTGAAAAGGAAGTGTAACCATCACACACTCCCCCTAGTAGTTTTTTGAACAATTATATTGATAATGGTCCATACCACCGCATGACCAACATCCACCATAGCTTTTCTCGCTGTTATGTTGAGGTTGATGTGAACCATGTGTTGTGTAATGATGTTGTTGTTGTTGTTGTGACGCGTTGTTGTATTGCTGTTGTGATGAATTGTTGTATTGTTGGTGTTGTGAAATCGGAGAATATGGTTCTTGTTGCATGAGAGACTGTTGCGTTGTTCTTATTGCTATATTTCTACGATTATCAAAAGATGTGGTAGCTCTCACCTGAATTTTTCCTTCTTCTTGCCATTTGTCATACTTAATGAGAGCTTGAAGAAATTCTTCAGCAGTGGCAGGGCTTTTTAAATCCATATGTATTTGAGCTGCTGCATTTAGTCCTTTAGTAAGATGTCTGAGTCGAGTTTCATCATCCATGTATTTATTAACCTTTGAGCAAAGTTTAAGAACATTATGACAATAATCAATTGCCAATTCATTGGTTTGTCGTCGACGATTATAAAGCTTTTGTTCGAGTTGAAAATGATCGGTACCAGTGACAAGTTGAAAATAGGTCATTAATTTATTTTTTAATGTTACCCAATCATTAATTGTGTCCTTGTGTGTATCATACCATAATTTGGCATTGCCCTTGAGAAGATCAATAACTACTGATAAACGTTGTGCGTCGTCTAGTTGCACTTGATCACACTTGTTAGTAAAGTCGTCAATCCAATCTGAGACTTCTTGTGAAGCTGATCCAGTGAATGGAGTAGAATCAAGAAGTTGGTTGATTCTTTTGGACTGTAATTGTTTGGCAGCTTGTTCCTTAAGACTAGACTCGATATTCATGATAACAGGTGATGTTGACTGCGACAACGTAGCCGTTGTCAATGATAAAGATGGTTTTGTTGGCAATATGTTGTGATACAATACGTTGCTTACTTGTATAGCTTCAATAGCTTGTGTAAGATTGTTAATGGTGATCTGTTGTGTTGCCATCTCTTGTTTAATTTGTTTGTTTTCATCCAGCAACAAATCTTGTTTAGCCAATAACTGTTGCATTAATAACATCATTTGATTTGATTGTTGAATATCCATTTGCGCTTGTTTATTTTCACCTTGATCATCCATTTTTATCTGTTGTTGTTCGATGTAGGATGGAGATGGTTCTCGTCTTGTT